TGGAATTCACCCTGCTCTGATCTCAGGTCTGGTTCGCCAACTGCTGCAGAGGGACCCTGATGTACTTTTGCGGTTGCAAGCTGAGATAGCAAGATCTCAGCGGCTTCCTCTTGTTCAGTTTGCCTCATAATAGCAGTTTGTAGCTGATCTAAAATCTGAACGTAGGGTTCCTGAGATCGCTGTCGAATTGATACAAAAGATGTTTCTCGCCGGCCAGGATCTGGCACCTTTCGCAAGGCCTTGAGAGTTAAATCCCTGGCTTGCAGAAATACCGGACTGGCAGTGTCACTTGTGCTCCCCCCATGGCGTAATTTTCTTGACCCAGCAACTCGTTTTCTCCAATACCTAATCCAGCAGAAATATTCTCCATAACTTGCACAATCACAAGTTCCTTATATTCTGATGCCCAGACAGTATATTGTGCAGATGACAGAACCATGCGAAGTACTGATCGCCAGTCAGAAGGGGTCATGACAGAAGATTCTCCTATAGCATGTATGAGGTTCATAGTAGACGAAGCCTGGAGACCATAGTCTTGTATGGATTTCCAAACTTCCTTAATAGCCTCGTATGGTAAATAAGCATACTCTGGGGCTTGGTTAGGGTTATATACTACAGGCATAGCTTGAAGGATAGAAACATCTCCTTTGCAGAGTGCATCAATCCTACATTTATCTAACAATACGTTCAACTGTCCGACAACATTCAGTGGTCCCGTACGAGTCAGAGGCTGTGTAGGAGCCAAAGGGGGGTGGGGGTGTAGAAGCAGAAGGGAGCACTTTAGGAGCAAATCCGGGGGCGGTTAATGAGTGAGATACGCGATATTGATTTTTGTCATTGTGCCTGTAAAATTTCATCTGCTGTGGGGGCAGGGGTTGCCGTAACCTTCACCGGAGTTAGTGGTGGGTATAAATCAGCTCCATCCTCGGTGTCTATTTCTCCGGGATCAAAAGGATCGTCAGATTCTGGCGGATCTACTCCCCGCATTCCCTGTGTGGAGTTAGGGGTTTCATCGTACGCAGGACTAAATATTTCAGAAGACTGCAGCTCAGTCTGTTCCTGCTTTTGCAAAGAACGGAGGAGGGGCAGCCGATGCTTGTAAGATAGTCTCTGCGAGCTGTAGAATATATAAAGCTGTATACACTGTTTTCCAAGTAATAATGATTTCCTCAGGGACTTCAAGCTGCAAGTCCTGTTCTGTGTGCAATTCCTCCCCCACCTTTGGCCACAACAAGCTATCATATCAACCTGAGGAAGGGTACCACGAGCAATAGTCTCTTATCCACACTAACAATTTAACCAACTTTGTAACTGATACCGCAGGCCCTTGTCCTTTCAAAATTCTCTGTAAAATCTCTTGATGGAGCTTTTGCTCCTTTGTAGCTGACTGTCCCATCTTATAAATCCGCAGCCGCTCACCTCAATCATTCCAGCGAAGGGTGATGTCTCCCCTTATGTGTGCGCACGCGTGCATATGTCTCTTCTCTTGGTCCCAGCTGCAGTTCACCACTGGTAATAATCTCCAACTCTGAATATCTTCATGTCTACATATCTTTATATCCAAATATCTTTATGTCCGAACATCTGCATGTTCGAAAACCCATGTTCGGGCACCATTTGTGGCAAATGGCTTCACGGACCCCGATCTTGTGCTTGATCAGAATCATTTTATTGCTCAAGTGAATACCTTATATTTAATGCAATAGTTACTAGAGCCAATCAGCTTTGGATTCACGGCTTTGCGAATGCCAGTTCACGGTTGCTGTTTTCCAGGATCTTTTGCAGCTGGATGTGTGCAAACAGCTTATCTCCTGATGACGAAGAAGGGAGGCACAGGAGGCGCTGATCCTTCAGGGTCATGAGACAGTGCTGTTCTGCCTCAAATTATATGGGTTCCCACAGCAGGCCTCAGCATAATTATCTGAAAGCTGAGCTAATCACTTGATTAACAATGGTGCAGGGAAGCATCGGTACGGCTGGGGTGCTGAGTTTTGAGGGCTGTGGTGGTATCAGTATGTGTGGCTGAGATGTAGGATCTTGGTGACTGGTAAAGAAAGTAAATGCGATGCCCGCAGGATGAGATTTCAGTAAAAATTCGAGTTTCGAGGCATCTGCAAAGAGGTGTGTTCTGGCACTTGGACATTTTGCTGTGTCCACGTGTCTGCCCTCGGAGATGCGAATGGTGTGTGAACCTGAGTGCGAATGCCCTTAAAAGCTGCACATGACCAATTTAGTAGGTATCTGAAAGACAGAAGCCCAGGCCCAGCCCCAACCTTGCAGGGCTGGTGGAGCAGGCACTGGCATCCTCCAGGACACGTCTTTGGCTTTTGGCCTGCTTCCTTATTGGCTCGTTACCATAAAGGCGCTCCACACTTCCCAGACATGCTTGGCTAGCTGGTAGGTCCTCCTCCTGGGAGCAGGAATAAAAGGCTGGCATTGAAGGCAGCCCTGACAGACAGACAGCTGAAGTCGCTTTGGCACTTCCTTGCTGTGGACTGCACTATGAGAAACTCAATGCTCTTCTTCGGCTTTCTTCTGGCCTTCCTCGGCCTGGCTGTGCCAGGCACTGAGGGAGAAATCATCTCCCGATGTGAGTTGGTGAAGATCCTGCGTAAGCATGGCTTAGAGGGCTTCAAGGGCACGACCATAGCTGACTGTGAGTATAATGAGCTCCCATTGCACCTCTCCACCTATACCACCCTTGTCCCTCTCAGCTTCTTTGCAACCTTCCAGCAGTACTGTTCTGTCCCTCCAGTCCTTTGACTTCACCATCTCCCTGCCTCATCCCCTTCCTTGCCCCATCCCCTTCCTTGCCCCCTTCTATTGCTTACACAACAAATACCCATCCAGAGCTTTCTCCTTCCAAGCACTTCTCCATCCATTCCTCAGACTTACCGTATCACCGGTTTACATCTCCAGCTCTTCATCCGTCCTTAATCTCTTCATCTCTTCCCTCTTATTTACCCCGAGCATCCCTTGATGTTCCTCTCTTCCCCCTGCAGGGATTTGCCTGGTGAAACACGAGAGCAATTACAACACCGAAGCGTATAACGACAATGGTCCAAGCAGGGACTACGGGATCTTTCAGATCAACAGCAAGTACTGGTGTAATGATGGCAAGACCCGTGGAGCCGTCAATGGCTGCCGTATCAATTGCTCAAGTAAGTGGTGGGACAGAACAACGAGCCTT